GTTGTGATGCTTAGCCACAACCTATGAAAGTTGTGAGAGAAATCTCTTTATGTTCCGAACAAATACTTGCCAGCAAAGACGGTGATCTTCTTCGCTGCGAAAGATTTGCCTCGGACCGAGGATTTAGCATTTCTTTCTCCGCGAGAAATGTTACCGTTGTGCTCAAATCTGACTGTTGGAATTGTATCTTTCGGCCATTGGCTGAGGCCGATGTCCAATTTGGTCATTTCCCATCTGGGAAGGCTGCAACTATAAATAGCCACCCCGCTCCAACTTTGATCGTTGGCTGCTCCGCTTGAGATTTTTGAGAAGATTGATTTGAGCAACCCCTCTCTGAGAGATTTGAGTTTAAGATCCACCGAGAGAAAACCAAGAGCCCAAACTTAGACAATGGTTGAGCATCACAGTAGTTCTGAGTGAGAGTTCTTGTATCTGTTACTCTTGAGAGCTGCACACTCTCTAGACGGATAAGTTTGACTTTGAGTGTTGAAGAGTTATTGCCTTCGCCGACAATGATCTACCATGAGTGTTCTGTTCGTGTTGATAGTTTTCTTGATCAGTCTATTCTGTTTATTTCTTATTCGTGCTCTGTGTTGATAGTTTTCTTGATCAGTCTATTCTGTTTATTTCAATCCGTCTGTCCGTTCCAGGCCTGGTCTGTTCTTCGACAGTACCTGTATCCATTCTTCACCATCTTGTGTTTCAGTTGTACTTGTGATATCTGTGAGGTGCTACTATTTCCATCACTGGCATGTTGTGTCTTATCCTGTTGCATCTGTTTGCTTGTTGTGTAACCCTTGCTGTAGTTAAACCAATTATCCATCAAGCTCATACCGTTGTAAATGCCTTCCTCAAAGAATATGCTTCTGACGAAGAGGACTAAATCAATTTACTTCCTTTGTCTTTCTATTCCGCTGCTGTGATTGAGTTGAGTTTCAAAGCTTTCAAAAAAAAATTGAATCTCCCATTAATGAAAAAGGGTTTCCCACCGCTTTATATTACAAAGCAACCATCCGAGACAATTAACGATAGGTGCTGGGGTGGAAGCAGCACAGTCACGCCCAAAAGAACTGAAAGATAAAATACAAAAGAAACAAATGCCGATAACAGCGGGTCGACAAAAACGGCGAGGCCTCACGACCGCTGCGTCCACTGAAGATCGCCCACTAAGCTCCGAGACTCCGAAGCGCCGGTACCAATCAACACCTCCAAGAAGGGACGCGGCGATGACGACGCTGTCGCCAAGGGTTTCCCCCGGTACGCGGCGAGGAGAGAGGAAGGGTAGCCCTGACGCCCTCCAGGAAGATCCGGCGGCACCCTCAGGCGCCACCGCGTCGGTGTCGGCCAAGCCAACAGGGATTTCACCCGATCCCAACCTTCACCTCAGGCACTTCGGTGCTCGCCACCAAACCGACCACCACCCTGCGCCAACACGGTCACGAAGATTCCCATGCTGTCTCATCACGGCACTACGAAGTATGACCTGCACGACGAAGAAGAGGAGACAAGACTAGGGCAGCAGCACCGTCTGCACGTGGGAGGGCTCCACCCCCACCGTCCATGACGATAGTCGACTGGACGCAATGGAAGGAGCCTACCAGGCCCATGGCCCCACGGGCCCGGCCCGACGCTCAACGCCCTGCAAGAAGAATACGGAGCGAGCGACAGATCAGAGGTGGATAGTGGGCTAGGCCTGGACTCTTCGGTTGGCTTCAGTGGTAATTTCTTATGGGAAGTAAAACAAAAAATGAAAATTAGAAAAATCAGGCCAACACGTTGGCAGGCAGAAGGATCAACTACTCAAATCACTCGGATTGCACGGGAGGGGCTATAGCTTAGCCACTTATGTTTTACTAATAAGCTTGCACGTGCAACGCACGTCTCGACTAATACTCTTTACAAAAAATACAACTATTCTCAATCAAATACACCTTCCATGCATGTCTCATACTACCGTATACTTGTTGATGGTAGTATTATCGCACGCACGCACGCACGCACGCAAAAAAAAAACGTCCAAGGCAACATTCATCATATATGTCCAAAACCAACAGCCAAGGTAACATTCTTCATAAAAGCCAAAAGCCATGTTTTCAGGCCCTTACATGTAGCGAGAGTTAGGTTTAAAGTTGTTGAATGTCATTTCCATATAAATAGAGACCATTGATGGTGCTTCCAAAAACTCTGAACATTTTGGTTTATCACAAACTACATAAAATAGATGTGTGAACACCATGTATTTTGGAATCAATGTTGCAACTTGTAAATTGCAAGTTATAATTTTTCTCCCAAAGAGTATTTACAAAGGCATGCTTAGCAAGGCAGCATCAATGTTTGATTCTGCAATGTCAGATGCCAAGAAAGCACTTGTACATTTTCAAGGCAATATTATTTCCAATCAAACGTTATGCACATTGGTTGGCTTCTTTTACCCTGGAGATGAATTCATCCAGATAATCTTGTAGACTATCCATCACTTTGTTTTGCCTGCAATTCCAGTATGTAAAAGTACAACACCATTCAACAGGGTGCACATGCACAGAAAAAGATGTTCAAAAGTCAAGTTGGGAGTTCTACATTACTAACTGAAAATGATCTTTTATTCCTTGTGGACTGTAGGAGTGATAAAATAGTTTATTTTCCTTTAAGCACTAAAATTTTACTTGAGCACACCAGTGATAATATTTTCATTTAGAATACATAAATAATGACATTGTTTGCTTTTTGGCGAAAAGATTGTTAAGTATTGGTTGAGCCACAATATATATTTCATTTCTATGGTTCCATGAATGATACAAGCAAAAAATTCTCATTAACTAATGGTCAGACTTCTTGGATTCGGGTAAACAGAAAAGACAAAAAAAACAATCAAGAGCACTCTATTTGCTATTTAAAAAAACATATAATTTGTTCTCATTTAATGAGATAAATCTCCAGTTCTACTATGTAAGTGTTTAAACGGCAGCGAGACAAATGTGAATGAAAAATATACATACATGGTAGATATAAACTTTAACCGTTGGCTATGTTTGTTCACTTATATGATCACATTAAGTAAACGTATCTTGTTGACCATAAATAAAGCAAAATGTACCATGTGCCGAAGTATATGCTAATTATAAAATAAATGTCTACCATGTCATCAGATACGATAAGCACACAAGCAAACACAAAATGAATGACATGCCATGATATCTCTAGCCCGGTTTTCTTTTTAATATATCCAGAAGAAGGGTCTCTCTGGTCTCTTTCAATTGTGCCTCCATCTTTGTTCTGTGAAAGCGATATGGACTTTGGACCAGATTTCCTGGGATCATAAGAGAAGTCGTTCAGGAATTATTTTTACCTATGCAGTAGTTCAAACATGCTCCTATTGATCAGTACTAAGGTGAAGCCCTGCTACTTGCTGTTGCTGCTTAAAAGGACACCTAAAATGATAATCGAGAACATTCTATTGATCCATCTATTTTCTGTAATGGCATCAAGAAGTAACTTGAATAGTATGTCAGTTCTAGTACTTGGTAATCTATTATCCTTTACATTTTCTAGGCATATATTCTATCACGTACAACCTGATCCTTCTAGTTTCTGTTCAAGAAACCTAAATTCCAGTTTGAATCAGATTTATCATCATATTCCAATAGTAAAAATGAATTTTCCACAAGCAGTAGAAAAGCAAGCATGACTAAAAGGTATTTTTGAAAAAGCATGAGCAGAAATATAGGAACCACAAACTATCTGGGAAAGATTCCTCTGAATTTAAATATTTTTAGTGCGCGCTAACCTGCCACTCTATGTCAGTAAGCTTGTGCCAATTTATTTTCTAGGTGAAGATCAAATGTTGCCATATCTAAAGAAATACTGGAAAAATATTTGTGTTAATAGATCCACAAAAGAGGCTTTCTGTGTCACAAGCATTCCATCCATTTATCACTGTAAAGTGAAATAGCTGATGCACACACTTTTTGAACTTAAAGAACTCCATGATTTACAAAAGGTAGGATGATAAGTCAAATGATGACCAGACAATGCTTAGAAAACGGATAACAGTAGAGGTTGATTTTACATTAGACTTTAGATAACACTATTACTGTATCAGGGAGAAATTTACCGCAGACTTGTATCTTCTGATGCTGCCTCCAACTTCCTTATAGAAAACTGCGGTAGGGCTTGGACCAGATTTCCTGGGAGCAAAATAGAAGTGAAAAAGAAATGTTTTATAGAGGTCAATAGCTAGGAAAAAATAACTTGGAAAAGGAAATTAATCAAAGTCACCTGAATCATATTCAATCTATTTGTACACAGAGACACCAGAAACCTTGCAAATCGCAGTACAACCATAATATTAATATCAATTATGATTTCCAAAAATTACCAAAAAGGAAACCTACATGTATATCTTCATATCTTCATAACATCAAAAGGAGATGTGGGGGCAATGCTCTTGGTGCCTAGTTGTGACTTATCTGCAATGTTGCCTGCTTTCCCATCTATAATCGCTAAGAAATTTCCAAAAGTAACTTCTGTAAAATATACCCAGCAAGCTACATGTGTTATATTACTCGAATTTAAACAAATGATAACACAATCTTCAGATGGATAAGATCACATCACCATTGCACATAGAATGCTGCTGTCTGAGGGTGTGGAAAGTTCGTGACCTGTTGGAATCACAGAATACTAACAGATGTTTCAGGAAGCGTACCCACATTTCATTAGTATTTTGAAAACATGCAGATCGGAGTCCTTCTCTCTATCATAACTAATTCTACACATCAGCATAAGCCTAAAAGCTTTCGAGGTAGTAGGTAATAAACAAAGAACAGTTGACTGGTTGTACCTGTAGTCAAATGTAGGGGAAATATAATGAAGAGCATTCACTACTAAATCCACTGTGGTGATATCTATTACAGAAGTATCCTTCAAGTGGTCGTGTTGAACTTATAAGCCAAAACAGGGGTCAGAAAAGTGAAAGATTTGAATTCTGCTGTTAAAACGAACTACAGTCTTTTCTTACAGTATAACAGCGACCTTAACAACGACTTTTTCCCATCACGTGTTGTGGCGGCATGGACTTGTGCAAGAGAAGCACTTGCAAGCTGGATAGGTGAAAGACAAATTCTGTGTCAGAGTTAAGTAAAAACAAGCTGAGCATCAATCCATGTTCTGATTCAAGGTGAATACTCCGTTGGCCAACAACTAAACTTCAGGAAAATGCAGTAATGCAATGAAGGAACTAACAATTTGTGGCAATTCTCCAATCTCTTTCTTGAAGACTCCGAGGACGTCCTCGTATGAGGAGACTGGGCACCTCTTGAGCATGGACGCCCTCATCGTCAGAACATACTCCTGTGGACTGTGGTAATACAAGCAAACAAGCAGCTGATCCTCAGCCACAAAATTATGCAATCTTACAAACAAACAGATAAATGAATCCAAAGCGAATTCAGGCAACACAGAGTTAGGAATTCCGTTTCGTACCAGCTGTGCGATGTGCTGGCCGAGCTTGATGTAGATGACACCATTGCAGAAGCATAGCTCCTAGAGGTGGTTGGCCGAGCGGAGGTGGCTCTCGTGCTTGGCGGTGTGGCAGACTGGGGGCGCGAGCGGCGGCGGGGCGGAGCGGTTGTGGCCAGAAGGGGCGTGCGCATGGCGAGAGAGGCGAAGTGGGGGACGTGCGCGTGGCGAGAGAGGGGAAGCTTATACTGGTAGTAGATAGATTATAGGGTAATGGCATGGTGGGTAATTAAAGTATAAAACGCGTTTAATACGCTGAAGGGATGTAGACCATCAGATTATAGGTTTTGATGGACAGAATAATTTGGTTCTTCGCCCCCTCGGCCTTTTATAGTGATAGTAGATACTAGGGGGCTCCTTTTGAGCGTCTTAAGCGCCAGCAGCGGAACCGGCTCACATGCACGCCTACGTGGCCCGACCCAATATGCAGGAGAACGCTTCGATGCGCCAGCGAACGGAACTGGCGCTCACATGCACGCCTACGTGGCCCGACTCAATATGCAGGAGAACGCTTCCATGCACCAGCTAGCGGAACAGGTCGCGGTGGACTCCCTCGATGGGCAATGGTATTTCCTTGGTCGCGGTTGACCGGTCTGACCAGTTGACTATTAAAAAATGTATTTTATTTCGAAAAAACAGGAATTAAAAAATCATTCACAAAAAAAGTTCATGGGTAAAAAAACTTGATGATTTTAAAAGAAAAAATTCACAAAAATGGAAAAGGTTCATTGATTTGTAAAAAGTTCATCGATTTTACAAAATAAGTTCATCAATTTTGAAAAACATCATTGATTATGGAAAAAGGTCATCGATTTTGAAAGAAAGTTCATTGATTTTGAAAGAAATTCATTCAACTTTGAAAAAGAAATCATTAGATAAGAAAAAACAATTGTTCCGAAGAAAAAAGAAAAAAGATTAAGAAGAAAAAGAAGGAAGAAGATGTG